GGACGAGATGGAGGAGGAAGAGGACTCAGAGGCAGGGTCGCCCCCTGGAAGAGTACAAAGAGGATTGCCGTCAGCAACCAGAGTGATCACGGGGTGCCCGCGCGTGATCCGGATGTCGTCGCAGAGTTCGTTTTGTGTTCTCAAATGCCAGGCATGGTTGGCCTGCGCGCAGCAAGCAGAGTGCCGGCCCCCCCCACCGTCGCCGTCCCTGTCAAGATCCTCTGCGGAGTGGTCGCGGGGCGCCCGTGCGTGCTCCAGATTTGGAGGCTGAGCGTCTCTTGTATCGCTTGTTTGACGGGAAAGGTTGGGGGGTGTTGACATGGGTCCGCGTTGGCTGCTGGTCGGGTGGGGGATGGGAGTGTTTATTCATAGGGAGCATTGGTCAAGCTACCCCACCCGAGCGAAGTGCCCCAGTCCAAATGAGATCATGAGGTTGGATCCCCCATCAAGCGAAGTGTCAAGCATTCATTGAGGAAGTTAGCTCACCCAGGGAGCGCATGGCACCAGCACCGATTGACAAGTCGAGTCGTCCTTGGCATCGCGCGCCCGCACATCATCAGGAATCGATGGTTGTCCCGATGGTGTCCGCCAGCAGTACAACGCTTAGTCGCATGACAAGTAACAGCATTATCGGCCGCAACCGAGCGATGGCGTGTAACTTTCCGACGCTTGAGAACACAGCGGAGTCGTTCCCACGGCGTTGGAACGGTTGTTTTGGTAGTTGTCCCGATGGATGGCCCGATCGATAGAATGGAATCGATAGATAGATGGTGAGAGGAAAGCGGTTGGGAGTCAACACAATTTTGATGTCCCGATGCGTCTCCACTCGTGAGTTCAATTGTATGCCCTCTGCATGTCAAAGAAGATGACACCACTACCCCGACTTTCCTATCACCCACAGGAAGTCTGTGAACTGAAATAGCGAAGATCCGTGCGTTGTCTGTTCCTGGACGCCCATGGCGGAAGACGCGGGGTTCGGGGCGTTGCTCGGTGCGACCGGCTCCGCGGCAGTAGCAGTGGGGCAGCCGCCATCGGCCAAACGAGTGTGCCTTCGGCACTGCGGCCGTGGTATTGTCCTTTTCAAGTGATGGGGGGTGGTGGTATTGCACGTAGCAGGCAGTATCCCGGCCCCTCGCCTTCCGCATGCGGGACGCCCGCGCGTGGTCAAGATTTTGGTGCGAAGTGAACGTTGTATTTCGTCGGTCCGAGGGATGGTGGGAGGTGCTGGTATTGCATACAGCTGGTAATGTGCTGGCACCTCCGCCTTCCCTGCAAAGCGCCATTATAGATTGATCGCGGGGAGTCTTTGCATGATCAATTCCTTGTTGCGAAGTATACGTTGTGTCGTTTTGTTTGGAGGGATGGCAAGGGGGCTGTTGGCAGTCCCCCGGGTTTGTCGTTGGTCGGGTGGGGGAGGTGGATTGTCTTCATACGGGAGATTATTGAGGTTGGAAGAGGACGTGCCTTACACGTCGGCATCCTCCCGCAACGGCGCACGAAGGCACATTCGGACGCTCTTGCGATGTGTGTTACGTGGATGATGTGAGCATGGTTTCCGCGTGGGTTGATGACAGCGTGTCTTGTCCAGCACCGTGGTGCCCTACTGATACTCGCAATGATTGGCTTCAAGACGGGCATGCTCGTGGTCTTGCTCTTCATCGGATGAATCGGATCACGGCAGCACCACTTCGCCGTTGCGTGTTGCCTTCCTCCGTGGCTTGCGGGTTCCGCGGGGGCGATGCAGCGGTAAGTCCCCATCCCACGCTGCTGCCTTTGGTCTGAGAAGCCAACCGTTCGGTGGGTGCGTGTCGTGCCGGCGTGGCGGCGGCCCCGCCCTGGGCCTTCAAGGTTAAACGCCGCGAGTGGCCAGAGCCGGCTAAGATGACACGATCTGGCGATCGAGAAGCCGATGATCGTTCAAGGTGTAAGGATCTACGCGGTGCCAGAAACCCACATCAGGGTCGTCACGGCACCAACTTGCCGCACGCTGCATCGGCAGCCTGGCTTGGCGTGTTTCATGATACTCGCCTCGTTTGCAGCGGCGACCCGTGCTTTGCTTTCGCCTCGCTGCTCGTGGCACTTGAACTGACTGTTGGCGATGTCGCTCCTTGATGTCGAGATCCGCCCCACTTTGCCGCCGTTCTTTCCGCCATACTCTTGCAGAAGTATCCGCCCCCCACTCATCTGAGGCAGGGATTCCCGGCCCGCTTCCTCGCACCGCTTGGGGGGCATTTCCGACCCGAACTCGGGCCAGAACATCAGTCCACGCACGGTGGATCCCAAGTCCGGGCAGGGCCCCCCCCAAGCTGGCCGGTCGGCTCGTCGCGGCCTCCTTCTCCCTCGCGCCGGGCCCCGAAGGCTTTCTCGCACTTGGCGCTGCGGCTGGTTGGCGCCGACTGAGGCGCCTGCAGCCTCCGCGCGGCTTGCCGCCCAGGACTGCCGGGAGCCCAGACATCCGACATCTGGGAAAATCACGTCGGAGGTTTTTCACGATGTCAGGCCTCGCCGTGCCCTGGGACTGTCAGAGAGCGACCCAGGACGAAGAGCCAGTGGGTCGAGAGCTCTGGAGACCCCGTATGGAGAGAGGGAGCCTTTGGTTCGGGTTCGAGGTTTGATGGTTTCGGGCATGTTCGGCCTCGGGGGTGCTTTGGATCGTTCCGCGCGGCCGCCTGGGAGCCGGGTTATGGCCCTAAGAGAACACCCGCAGGATTGTGAGGATCACATGGGAACTAGAAACAGCTTGGCTGGTTGACCACACAATGTTTTCGGAGTCTTCCAGCAAATCGTCAGAACACATCGTGTCGCTTTCCCTTTCTCACAGTCTGCGCGGGCCGGGCAACATGCATTGTGACGTATGGCTCGATAGTTGTCATTGGGCTGACAGTTGTAGTGGTCATCGGTGGATGATTCCTTGGACGACATGTAGAGAATCATTGTGTTGATCAAGGGTGGTGCTACTTGCACTGGGCATCCCTTGCTTCTCTCTCCTCCTCCACCTGCTCTCCTCCGCAGCTCCCGTGCGCGGGGCTCGACCACAATGTGCCAGTCTAGAGTCGGATTGCGCGAGGGCGCGCGACGACGAGGGCGCCAGTGAGACATTCTTCCGCAGATGCTCGGTTGTTCGAACCGTCTTACCGCAAGCTCCAGAGGGGGTCTTGCCGTTGCGCTCATCGGCGCCAAAAGGTCGGCCCGGCTCTTCGCCCCCAGGCGACCAGCGTGGTTTTCGCAGCTGGTCGTTGTTGTCGTGGCTAGCGTGGCTGTCGTAGCAGTGGGGCGTTCCGCCCTGGTCGTGGGGCTGCTCGGCGCTGCCGTCGCGGAAGCGGGTCTGTTCGATATGGTCGTACCGGTGGTTTATCAACGTGGTCGTCGTGGTAGGACCGCTTTGAAGGTTGTAGAAGCCCGAGGTTATCATAGTCGTCGTCGTGGGCGCAATTCTGAGCTGTGCCTGGAAAGTTCGTCGTAGGCGTAGTTGCCGGTTACTCGTTCGCTTCTCCTTTTCGCATCAAGTCTTGCTAGTCAAATTGGAGAGGCCTGACGGCCGGTGCCGCCGACCCTGATCGAAAGGGCTAGGAGGGGGGGAGGAAGCGGGGGATGAGGAGGAGGAGGAGGAGGAGAAGGAGAAGGAGAGGAGGAGGAGGAGGAGGACGGAGGAGAGGAGGAGGAGGAGGAAGTGCATCCTTTGTGTGCCCGCTCGAAGAAAGTGCGCCCCGGGAGTGTGATATTCTGACTTGGGACGTGCTCCCGGAAGAGGAAGAAGTGCATCTCGGGCGTGCCCGCTCGAGGAAAATGCGCCCTAGGGGGGTGGTATTTTGACTCGGGGCCCGCTCCCGGGACGCCTCTGCGGGAGGAGGAGGAGGAGGAGGAGGAGGAGGAGGAGGAGGAGGAGGAGGAGGAGAGGAGCAGGAGGAGGAGGAGGAGGAAAAGGAGGAGGAGGAGGACCAGGAGGAGGAGGAAGTGCATCCCGTGCGTGCCCGCTCGAGGAAAGTGCGCCCCGGCGGGCGTCGTATCTGCCCCGGCCCCCCCCCCCCCCCCTGCGGGGAAGGGATCAAAGGGAAGGGGCTTCCCTTCGACTCCACTACGACGTCGTTTAATTTCGCTTTGGATAGCGCGCTTGAAGAGGAGAGCCCTGGGAGGGGGAGAGCGGAGACGACGGAAACGACGAGTCGAACGGAGAAGCCCCTCACACACGCCGACAGGGTCGGCGGATTAGCCTGGCGAAGAACCCAACCATATGTAGTTATGAATACCGCAGTCATGGGTATCGTATTCGGTGGAGCTCCCTATGGCGCCACGAAGCGCTGCACTGGGTGGGGGGGGCGCATGTGAAGTTTGCCACTGGGGCCTTCGGTGGAGCTCCCTATGGGCCACGAAACGTTGTGCTGGGTGGGGGAGACGCATGCGGACTTTGCCACTGGGGCCTCCGGTGGAGCTCCCTATGGGCCACGAAACGTTGTGCTGGGTGGGGGAGACGCATGCGGACTTTGCCACTGGGGCCTTCGGTGGAGCCCCCTATGGGGCCACGAAGCGTTGTGCTGGGTGGGGGAGACGCATTCGGATGTTGCCACTAGGGCCTTCGGTGGAGCTCCCTATGGGCCACGAAACGTTGTGCTCGATGGGGGAGACGCATGGGAACTTTACCACTTGGGCCTTCGGTGGACCTCCCTATGGGGCCACGAAGCGCTGTACTGGCTGGGTGGGGGAAGCGCATGTGGACTTTGTCAGTGGGGCCTTTGGTGGAGCTCTCTATGGGGCCCCGGATCGGTGGGGCTCTTTATGGGGCCACGAAGCGCTGTACTGGGTGTGCGGGACGTACGCGGGCGGTCCCATAGGGACCTTCGGTGGGGCTCCCTATGGGGCCACGAAGCGCTGTATTGGGCGTGCGGAACACATGAGGGTGGTCCCACTGGGGCCTTCGGTGGGGTTCCCTATGGGGCCACGCAACATTGTACTCGGTGGGAGCGACGCATGCGGACGGTACCACTGGGACCTTCGGTGGGGTTCCTTATAGCGGGACACATGCGGGCGGTCCCACTGGGACCTTCGGTGGGGCTCCCTATGGGGCTACGAAACGCTGTTCTGGGTGTGCGGGACGCATGCGGGCGGTCCCACTGGGGCCGCCGGTGGAGTTCCCTATGGAGCCACGGAGCCTTGTACTGGGTGGTGCGTGACGCATGCGGGCGGTCCCACTGGGGCCGTCGGTGGGGCCCAATGGGACCTACGGCGGAGATCCAGATAGGGCTTGAAACGCCGTACTGGGTGGTGCGTGACGCAAGCGGGCGGGCCCACTGGGGCCGTCGGTGGAGTTCCCTATGGGGCCACGCAGCGCTGTAATGGGTGATGCATGACGCATGCGGGCGGTCCCATTGGGACCGTCGGTGGAGCTCCATATAGGGCCACGAGGCGCTGTACTGGGTAGTGCGTGACGCATGCGGGCGGTCCTACCGGGGCCGTCTGTGGAGCTCCTTATGGGGCCACGGAACGCTGTACTGGGTGCTGCGTGACGCATGCGGGCGGTCCCACTGGGGTGCGTGACGCATGCGGGCGGTGCCTCTGGGGTTTTCGGTGGAGCTCCCTATGGGGACGTGAAACGCTGTACTGGTGGCGCATACGGGCGGTCCCATTGGGACCTTCGAAGGAGCTTCCCATGGGGCCACGAAGGGTTGCACTGGGTCATGCATGACGCACGCGGGCGGTCCCATTGGGACCTTCGGTGGAGCTCCCAATCGGGCCACGAAGCGCTGCATTGGGTGGTGCGTGACGCATGCGGGCGGTCCCATTGGGGTCCTGTGTTGAGCTCCCTATGGGGCCACGAAGCGCTGTATTGGATGGTGCGTGACGCACGCAGGCCGTCCCAATGGGGCCGTGGGTGGAGCTCCTTATGGGGCCACGAACCGTGTGAGGCGTGTGCTGAAACGGGAGATGCTGATGTTTGTGATGGAGGAGGGAGGACGGGGATAAGGAGAGGAGTAAGGACGCGGGGCGCTGTCTCTGCAAATCGATGGCTCAACACCACACGATGGTTATGAAAAAAGAAGGCGAATCAACCCGACATGTTCAAGTTCCAGATCATATTGGGGGCCCAACAGCAGGCGAACAGGTGGGATGATTGCTAGCACACGCTTGATGGAGGCCGTACAAACGACGATCGTCGCTGCAGGCAACAACAAGGATAATAACCGGCAGGTCACCCATCTGCCAGAGTCGCCGCCTCGCGGTGGCTTGGAGAGGGAGGCTGCCAAACTCCTGCAGCTAGGCCTCAAGGACAAACCAGCCAAGGGGGAGAGGAGGACGCATCGCGAGTAGGATTGAAGCGAAGGCCCGTCTAGTTGCGATGAACGGCCCTCGCCGCGCAGCGGAGCTCTATCTCCAGGGCGACCTCCCCGATGAGTCCCTCCTCGCTCGCCAGGCTCGGACCCCCGCCCCGATCGTCGAACATTCGGATGGTGCCCTGGAGGCGGGATTTTCACCGTCTCCCCCCGCCCAGGCCTCCCTTGGCGCTGAGAGGTTTCGGGCGCGCTCTGAGGCCCTTCGGCGGCCTCGACTTGCTGAGAGCTCTCTGGGCGAGGGTCGCGTCGCCAGGTCGTCGAGGCCTTCGGGCGTCTGAACGGCCCCGCGCCGTGAGTCCTGATTGGGGTCGTGTTGGCGCAGGTATTTTCGTCGCCTGCCGTCGGCCCTTCCGACGGAGTGCACGGGCGACCCCCTGGGGTGCCCCCATATTGGAGTGTCGTTTTTGCCTGTGGTATCCCCTTGCAGGGCCCGAAAGACTCGAGCCCCTCAAGCGGTTGTCGAATGCCTGATCCGTGTTTCGTCTTCCTTGGGGGCCTGCAGGGCGCTAGTCTCGAGGCGTTTAGATTCATCGAGTCATGGGTGCTGCCCTGCTCTGCTCTACTCCTCCCCCGTCCTCTCTCTCTCTCTCTCGAACCTCATCGTTTTCCCTTTCCCCTTCGATTCTCTCATTCCCTTCGATGGTCCTCTCCCGCCTCTCCCCCTCCCCTGAGATCGGACGGTGTGAGAATAATGCAACGTCGCGAGTTACGTCGACGATGGGACCCCGCATGAGAATTCCCCAAAAAGTAAGCTGGAAGTAGGCATCACCGGTGTCCGTGTGAGGGCCCGCTCGAAGCTTCCTAACGACTTTCTCACAGAAGAGCCGCTTGGCTCCCGCCGCAATTCATCTGCAGACGAGATTTGCTCACGTCTTTCATATGACATATGCAGAGGTCAACTGCGACGACGCTTACAGGTTTCCGATGACCAGCTCGGATTCGTAACGTGAGCTTCGGGCCCCGCAGGGATGGGCTCCCGCCTGGGATTTCCTCGCAATTCATTCGCAGACGAGTTTCCCGCCAGAAACTTTCTCCACCTTCGGATTCGAGGATGCCAGCAGTGACCACAGTCAC